AATTACTCAATTTACACAATTTGCTTTACAGTACCCAGGTATAGGGCCTTAAAGCAGTTAAGTCCCATATGTATACCCACATACTCGCACTCCCTTAATCTTTTAATATAGGTAGGTACCTATACCTAGGCCCCCTGTCTTTTAAAGTTTCCTAATTTTAAAGCTGATGCTGATGTACCTTCCAACACATTAAAATTTGTCTCAAAAGCACAATTGCCTATTAAAAAATGTAGGTACTTTCTACAATACAATAAAGGTATAAAATGAAATGATTTAAACTTGACTAGGGTAGAGCTTCGCTTTGCTAGATAAGAAAAATCTGCTCTTAAGATGACGAAATTGGAGCTGAAAAAATCAAGTTAGAAATTGAGGAGAAGAGAATTTTTATCGTGTCCAGGGAAACTATTCTTTACAACAGAGTCGTGATTGTGAAAAAACAGTTGGTGGAAAATTATTGTCCTTGAATTATAATAAATAAGTACATCTGCATATTTTGGTTAACGTCATGTTTATATTTACTTATTTGAAGTATTATCATTATCAGATTGTTAATTAATTTATTCAGGACTTGCAGGCTCTTTTCTATGGTAAATAAATAGATTTTGAAAACCTTGAATTTTTTTCATGTATGTTCACATCAATGGATTTTCCTAAACACACAGTACATAAGTCTCGACCTAGGTATATGCTCACTATGTATTCCCATCTTTATACAAAATAAATTCATCTGGCTTTCGACTTCGGTCTCGATTCTGGATTTCCACTCCCTCAAAATCTATTTGAGAAAATAAACCCAAAAGCAGTGTTTTACCCATATGTTCTAATTTGCCAATGATCTATTTGCATTTTTTTTATAAGCTCAAGAACAAATTTCCACTCACTCTAAATCCACAAAAAAGGTAAAGAAAGTAAAAATTAATAATTAGACTTGACTAGAAAATCAAAACAAACTTTCAGTTTGTATTTTTAGGTTAGGAACCCCTCGAAAACTCTTCTTTTTTCACGATTTTACAAAGAATTACAACGTTGCCACATAAAAACTTGACATCAATTTCAATGTTTTTCTATTTCAATAAAATTAAATCAAGGGTACTTACAGCATACCAATTTTTTTCATTATTGAAATGCAAGTCAATATTTATTGGAATTATTTCAACCTTGACTCTAAACTCAATGTCGTTACTGCATAGGGCCGATTGTGTGAAACATTACAGAGATAATCACTACACGAAAAATACTCAGCAAACAAATTTACAATTTCGCCACCAGTTGAAGACCTGATATTATTGTACTTCATATCAGAAGGAATATCACAATTTCAAAAAGTTTTATACATTACCTCTCAAGGGAGATTCAGTTTGAGCTATATAGCATTGATAATACTGATTCTTAATGGCTTTACATTAATTAAGCTCTTAATGCAGGAAATAACTTATAGTCCATGTAAAGTTCAGTTAAAACGTATAAATCTGTGTGCTTTTTTCTTTTCGAATATTGTTTCCTTCAAGTGCTGAGGAAACCACGCAGGAAAATTTTGGCCGCGTATAACTTTTTTAGAAGAACAAAAAGGTCAATAGTTAAGTACAAAACATCATAAAATACATTAATTATATGTTCCAGGGATTTCTTTATGAACAAATTGTCCCAAGTGAAACAGGAGAGAAAGTCACACACTACCGTAATGTCCATGGCATGGAAGTCTCTATGAAAACCATCACCTGTGATTCCATAATTGTTAAAATGGTGATGTTAACACTTAATACCAAAAATTAGTGTTGGGTGGTGGTTGTCCACAGGTAACAGACTTCCGTCTGCATAGAGAGTTGTAGCTTTTCAAACCTTGTCCTGCAAAAACACCAGATCCAGGATAGATCTGTTCTCGTTTCTAAATGAGTTCACCTTATATAGGTTATGGTATGAGCATAAAAATGATAATACTTGGAGGGACTCAACTTCGTTTGGAGAAGCTGTTGGCAGAGGGACAGCCACAGAGGCCAAATCAACTTTTAACCATTGTCCATTTGGAAGATTAAAATCACATAAACCACATACTTTACTATCTGGGTATGCTTCCGTGAGTTTTTCCAGGCTGTCAGCAAACTGTGCATACTTTTCAGAGGCACCCCGAGGTGGGAAATAAGCAAATGCAAAAATTAAATCGGTCCGTTCATATCGATCTGTACAAACAAATGTTCAATGTTACTACTTGTAATATTGTTTCGAACTGCTATTAGTAAGTAACCCACCCCCTCTTGAGAATACGCTTGTTCCGACCTTACGACTGTTCCTCCTGTAAATATTTGAATCAAGCATTTGATGTTCAACATCCTGAAATTGTTCCATCAACCAAGTTTCATTAAAAACCAAGATATGGTATTCATCAGAGTGAAAAACATTCTCAAAAAGCAAGTGAAGCTTTGTGCGTAAACCTCTAACATTTTGGAAATAGACAAGTAAATTGTATCTGGATTTTACTACGGAAGAACTAGTTAGTTTTTTTGTTACCAGTCTGGGAATCCCATTAATTTACTTCAAAAAGAGGTTCTTTTCACCTTTTAGCAGTCTTTGCTTCAGTTCGTTCTTCAAGTTGTTAAGCTCCACACGTTGTTCCGAAGTTGAATCAGTAAATGTCCCTGCCTCTATCCAACTTCTTATTTTTTAGAACTAGACGAAGAACCTCTGGAGATTGAAGGAAAAGGGGAAAGCCGCAAAGAACGATGTCCATTTCAGTTGCGTTTCCCAACTCCAGAAGCAGTCACAATGCTGACAGACGCACCAACAAGCTGCGATAATAGAGTGCTTGCCTCAATCAAGTCCTTCTGATCATTGTTTTCTGGTAGATTAAATGTCATCAAGTTGTTAGATCTTTTTTGGCGGTCAGTCATCTCATGGAGGACATTACTTAAATCGCTACCCGAGGCAACAGCAGAGCTGTACGTTCTGTCACTTGTACCATTATTTTGGAAGATGTAGTTTTTCTGATTTCCCTTAAATCCTGCTTAATTTTATCAAGGGTGGTCAAGAAACTTGCTTTCTCTCCCGATTTTGCCTTTCAAAATAATCCAGCTTTTGTGTGCTAGTCACCTTTATTCCACTTAGAGGATCCTCTAGGGCACTAACATGATCAGTAAGCTTCAATGTATTTTTTATTGCTGGTACTGGCCAGTTGGTTTCATCCAGAGCCATTACAACTAAATCACACATTATTGCTGGTAGACAGTCTTTACACAGGGTATGATTCTCGACCATCAATGTGCGAACTTCGAGTTCGACTTCACCATAGAACAGTTTCTACACATGACTCTCCTACAATCGTCACTCGGGTATCCAAATACCTCGGTGCTACTCTATGGTTTCCTAAAATGCAGATCTGTGAACATTCAAAGCAAGTGCCAGACATTTTGAGGTTAGCTTTTGTATTTTTAACAATAATTCACCTCATACACATGGCAATACTATATTTAAACAAAAAAACAAATGGAAAATTTTAAACACAGCAAAAGTAAACAAATTATATTTACAATATAAGGTTAGGTTAGGTTTATCTTGCTGTAATTATCAATAGAGCAGCTCTAAAAAATAAAGAATACTTTCCATACCTGGGTTATAGTCATGTTTCCACAAAATGTCGACGCGGAAATTCAACACCGACTAAAGTGCGCCAGCGCACTATTTGGACGTTCCTCAAAAAAGGTGTTTGACGACCACGACATAAGTGCCCACACTGAGCTTGCGGTCTACAATGACATCGTCATACCAACACTTCTCTACGGATGCTGAACTTGGACAATCTATACAGACGGCATCTGAGGTGTTTAGAAAACTATCACCAGCGCTGCTGAAGATTGAAGAAGAATCAGGACCGGCGAACAAACAGTATCTTTGACGAAACCAATTCTACTAGCAATGCTAATCCAACATCGCGTCGCGGTGCTGGTCATGTCCTCTGCATGCCAGGCTCTCCAAATTTTCTGAATGATAATGCAACACTATGGACACGTGCCTATTTTCTGTTTGATTTAGTTTACATGCTATTGGAAAAAAAGCAATATTCCGCTGTGGTATAAAAAATAGTACATCTTGAAGTATTTAGAACCATAAAGGCGAAGGGATGCGGAGGATGAACGAAATCGTAGAAAACGAAAACCTCTGATAAGAGCTGGTTTACAACAGCGACCAGCTACCGCTGAGTGTATAATCAATTCCGGAGAAATAGTGGGTCTATACCAAAATTTCGAAGTCCTTTCCCCAAAAATCTGGGCGCTCTGTTTTTCACTTACTTCCGAAAAGTTTGTGTAACAAATTTTTTTCTACGAAGCTTGAAAATATAAACCGAGCTATTCAAAGTTACCTTCTACAAAGAAATTTTATTGCGATTCTGTAAATTTGCGAATTATTTATTACTTTCTGTTTCCTTGCTTGGGCTGAGTTTTTTTTTGTATTCTCAGTTTTTGATAGATATTTATTCGTGGTTTTTTGTCTTATTTTCTTAGCCACGTGGGTTGAGTTTAAACAGAAAAAAAAGGGCGATTTAAAAAAACAACATTATACGATTAAATTACCAGCAGTAGTTGAAAGAATTATATTTCGCCGAGCTTCTCTAGGCACAAAGTCGTAAAAAGCCAAAGGCTTGACTAATTATTGCAGACCGGATGCCAGAGCCAGGCAGAACTGAGAGAGATGCGAAAGAAATGAAAGAATTAACGATTGAATATGAGCGAGTAGGTGGGCGGTAAGTCAATGTACCTTCAATGAGAACCTGAAGAATGTTTCATTTAATTTAGCTACACCTTATGCATTTTTAATAAGTGTGTAGCCAAAGATTTATATTAGTTCGATAGGTATTTTATAATCATATGAAGATTCAACACTTCACGGACTTTATACATTTTAACTCGCGTAGTTAAGTAGGTACCTACGTTAAATATTTTGCTAATGAGAAGCCTAGAAAAATAGATTTGCTATTCAAAGATTAAATTAATTTCAAATTTTATTTCCAGATACCATCATTATGAACGAAAAAACCAAATGGCACGATCGCCTCTTCGGCAAAAAGCTCATCAAATGCGACTCAACCAACAACTCAAACGACTTTAACACCTTCCCCACCAATGAAGTTCTTAAAAACGTGCAGATCATTGGACTCTATTTCAATTTTGCCAACATCAACACTCAAAGTGACGATTTCCTTAAAAAATTGCGCGATTTATACGAGAAACTTAACGCGGGTTGTTTGAATGGTGACGCGGATAAACGTATCGAGGTGATACAAGTGGTGATGTGGGCTCACAATGACAATTATGGCGATTTCGAGATGAGTCATAGAGATAGTTTGCTTGGGTTGCCTTGGTTTGCCATGCCGTTCAGTGAAATCAACTTAAAGGTAAGAAGTTTTCAATTTACTTCTAATGCTTAACAAGAATTATTTATGTTCCTAATAAAAGTATCGAACTTTCCAACTTTCTTAAGAAAACTTGTTCCACAAACAAGCCCATTGAAAAAAGTAGGACGACTATTTGGAAACTCAAAGTAATAAAATCCAATTGGAAACAATAAAAAGTCGAAAGAGAATCGGGAAAAAAACGTAACTGGCCAAAAAAAGAAAAATTTATTTCCATTAGATGGGTTTGGATTGGGGATAAGAATAAGATGTTTTTGGGGATGAAATTGCTTGGAGAAAACGCCAGTTTTCAGTTTGTCGGGCGACTTTTCATCAATTCTTGCTAGTCATGGATTTTTTCAAGACTCTGAAACTCTCTCAGATAATGCCACTACTTAATTTGCTTTTACGCGTTTTTTTTTTTAAATTTTTGCTAAACTACGATTATTCTCAGAGTTTGCACATTAATAATTATTGTGAATTTTTTTGATATGTTCAAACGCTTTTTCCAAATGCCATTCCTCCCACTGACGATGTGATATCATATCCCGTGGAACTGGGTTATACAATGATTTCTCCACACCCAGCTACTTGTAGGTAACATTAGTGTCAATGTAAGTAACTTGCCAATGAGGATTACCATACGACGTCGGTCTCAACCAAGGTCTCAACAGTACGCACCAGACAGTTGTGATAACCATTCGAAAGTGCATCCTGCATAAGTGGACAATTATTCTGGTGTCTGCTTCTTTATAGTCATGTGATAGCACCTATCAATCGGGTGATAACTTCGACATGACTTGTGACAATTATTACCTCACTTCCGCAACCTTCAATATTTGCCAATTACTTTAAAATATATATCTCATATGTGAATTGTGATCCGAGTTGGAATCCATTGTGCCTAATTGAGATGGTCGAGACCGAAGAACCAAGATGCCAAGGCCTATCCAAATATAGATTAAACCTTATAATTCCCATCATGCTACGATTTGATGAAAATGAGGCCCTCGCGCCTGATTTCTGTTTATTTCACTCAATATGAGATGAAATTTTGATCCCTCATCTCGAAAATTAGGTCCGAGCCCCATGTGAATCTTGTCCCACTACTGGAATGTAGGACTTTTTTCTACCATTGTTTTTCTTCATAACAGCTTGGTTTCATCATCGTGTGGTCCTATAAAGTGAGTAAGAAACCATCATCCTCCAGAAGTTTTTCCAAAGCCACTTCTGCCCTTGGTGGAAACTTCTTATCCTAATCGCATGCGAGTGCGGAAGGTGAGAGTTGGTCTGATGAAGCAATACCAGCTTCACCCAATGCGCAAGTCCATCCTGGTTCCTCCAAGTTTTCATCAGAAGCTGTCCACATCGCCATCCGAATATCATATCCATGCCACCGTTCTATAAAAGTTTCCTCTCCATACATATGCGGCCATTCGCACTATGTGAACTTCATAATCTGTCCAAAATATTCTGTAATCCAGAAGCACGACATTTATTCCATGGTTCATCTTTGAGGAAGTATAGCTTAGATTAGATTAGATAAGAAATAGTTTATTGTATCAAGACAAAAGGTATACAGTAGGTACTATTATAAAGTATTTTTTCATGTAACCTATCAAAATAATTATACAGGGTGAGTCCGAAATAAGTGTGCATTTTTTTATGATAGATAGAGTACAGTAGGATAATCACTTTATGCAGAAGTACATGTGTCCGCAAACGTCTCGTTAAGAAAAAACAGTGTTGAAATTTTCGGAAAATTAGAATTTTTGCCTTTAGATTCAAAATACCTTGAGCGATTTTGCTCAAACTTTCAGAGAATGTTTGCGAATTTCTCAAGCATCTTTCCAGAAAATCCATTTGAGTTCCACTTCTCCAGTACCGGACCTGGAGCACTCTTATTTTTTTTAAAGAAAAAATTGGTACGCCTCTAGGTTTTTTGAGAAATTAAAAATGATTTTTGATTCCTTGTTTAATTTTAAATAAAAAAGGTATCTCCAGTTTCTCTTGTTCGATGCGACGTTTACGAGATAAAAAATAAAAATAAATGTATTGTTGTTGCAAACACTCTCTGAAAATTTCAACGAAATCTCTCAAGGCATTTTGAATCTAAAGGCAAAAGTCAAAATTTTTCAAAAATTTCAACACCCTGTATTTTCTTAACGAGACGTTTGCGGACACATGTACCTATGCAAAGAGTGATTTTCCTACTATACTCTATTTATCATAACAAAATGCGGACTTATTTCGGACTCACCCTGTATATTATTCATAAAAGAATATATATTTAGAACTTAAAATATGATAACTAATATCATTACTTTTTCCCTTTAGTATTACACTGAAAAACGCTGGTGCAAGATATCTGAAAGAGTTCTTGAAGAACTGTAGTCTATGCCTGGGAACATCTAGCATATTTACATTTCTAGTCTGCATCCTATTAATATCACCCAAACGCGCAATGAGCCCCCTCAGGTAGCTAAGGACAGTTAGTCTCAATAATCCTCACAACCAGCATAGCAAAGTTCACATATCATCTCTTTGCAATATTTAACATTGACCTGCCACGGAAGTGCGGAGTGAATGTGCTCTCTTCTGTTTATGTTGCAAGCAAATCTTATGCAAGAAAAGGTCCATATACAACATATAATTGCATTTTGATAACACTAATGACTCTGTTAATCATCGAAATTTTTTAACTAGGTGGCACTAAAGTGGTTACTTTTAGCACTAGTGCTAAAAGTAATCACTTTTAACACCAGAGTCATAAAATGGCGTTTTAGACACTGACAGCATGCGTAAAAAATGACACTTTTAGTGATGTTTGAAGAAAAATATAATTTCTTTAAATGAAAATAAAAATGACTGTCAAATGCGAAATAATAAAAATCATACTTTGAAAAATAAATCTATCAGGTACTAGATGGCTGTAGGTACTATTTTTTGATAATAGATATTTGCATTTTATGCTCATGATGGATGGATGGCAGTACTCATACAATATTGAACTATGTAGATACTTTAAGATTACTCAAATTATGAATTATTATTTTGCTGACTCTGCTACAACTTTAAAATGAAAATAAGAAAAGATGGAACACGTTACGTAAAGGATAAATTTATCGTAACAGTCGACATCCATGACTTTAACAGGCACTGTAATGAAAGAGCGCTGCACAAAAGAGCGCTGTAACAAAAGAGTGCTGTAACAAAAAAGCGCGGTAACAAAAGAGCGCTGTAACAAAAGAGCGCTGTAACAAAAGAGCGCTGTAACAAAAGAGCGCTGTAACAAAAGAGCGCTGTAACAAAAAAGCGCTGTAACAAAAGAGCGCTGTAACAATAGAGCGCTGTAACAAAAGAGCGCTGCACAAAAGAGCGCTGTAACAGAAGACCGCTGTAACCAAAACAAAAAGTCACCAAAAACGTGAAAAACCCTTTTGTAAATATAACACCTTGAAATTTAAATTATTTTTTTTCCATGGATTGCTCGCTCTGCTCACCAAATCTCAAAGAGAAGATCCTCGGAAACGTGAATCCTCCAAAAATGTAAAAGTAAAAACCATTTTTTACATAATAGCATCTTTTTGAAATTTAAAATATGTTTAAGTTTAGGATTTCATCAAATAGCTCAAACAGAAAGTAAATACAAAATAACCCTTTCTAACTCAAACTGACTCTTCCTCGGAATGCGAATCAATGTCTGTTTCTGAACTTTATCAAATTGCTCAAACAGAAAAAAAAATCAAAATAACCCAATCTAACCTAAACTGACCCGTTCTCGGAATGCGACCCAATCGCTGTTCCTGAACTTCATCAAATTTGTCAAACTGAAAATGAATACAAAATTACCCAAACTGACCCGTCCTCGGAATGCGACCCAATCTCTGTTTCTGAACTTCATCAAATTGTTCAAACAGAAAATGAATACAAAATAACCCAATTTAACCCAAACTAACCCGTCCTCGGAATGCGACCCAATCTCTGTTTCTGACTTCATCAAATTGCTAAAAGAGAAAATAAATCAAAATAACCCAAATTGACCCGTTCTCGGAATGCGACCCAATCGCTGTTCCTGAACTTAATCAAATTGCTCAAACAGAAAATGAATACAAAATAACCCAATCTAACCCAAACTGACCCGTCCTCGGAATGTGACCCAATCTCTGCTTTTTTCACTTAATTCACCTTTTTGAAATTCAGACGGCGCTCTTTTGTTACAGAGCTGCTTTGTTACAGAGCTGCTTTGTTACAGCGCTGTTTTGTTACAGCGCCCTTTTGTTACAGCGCTAGTTTGTTACAGCGCTCTTTTGTTACAGCGCTCTTTTGTGCAACGCTTTTTTGTTACAGCACTCTTTTGTTACAGCGCCCTTTTGTTACAGCGCTCGTTTATTACAGCGCCCTTTTGTTACAGTGCTCTTTTGTAACAGCACTCTTTTGTGCAGCGCTTTTTTGTTACAGCGCTCTTTTGTTACAGCGCCCTTTTGTTACAACGCTCTTTTGTTACAGTGCTCTTTTGTGCAGCGCTCTTTCGTTCCAGAGCCATCAGCCGAGTATATTAGGTACAACTGCGGCCCGAGAATAGACCCTTGAGCTACCCCTGAACTGATTGTCCTTGGACTGGATAGGAAGTTTTTAATCCTAACCCTCTGATCTTTGCCTTCAAAGTAGCTTTCAAACCATTTGACTGATATATGTGATCGAAATTACAGTATTTGAGCTTCCCAATCCTAAGTTTATGGTTTACGAAGTCGAAGGCTTATGACATGTCCAGCAGCACAAGAGCAGTGACGTTTTGCTGGTCAGCAGCTTGCACTATATCATTGGTAATTTTTAGCATAGCTGAGGTACAGTTGTATCCTCCCTTAAAGCCAGACTGATTTTTTGACAACAAAGTCCTGCTCAAATGGGTTATAATTTGACTGTTTACAATTTTTTCGAGTATTTTCGATGCTGCAGGAACTATACTGATAAGTCTTAGTTCGCCCAGAGTTGGATTTCCA